AAATATAATAGAAATATTCAAGAACTCCTTCCGCGTAATTTAAAACCTTTAAAGATTTGATCAATAACGAAAATCAGAAATACTATAAAACACAATCTCAATGATATTATTGACAGTTCTGTGACATATTCTACGGCGTTATATCGGAGAATATAATTTTTGTGGTGTATATAGATTAAACCATGAAAAAAGTTGCCTCGTTGACTAGAAAAAAAAGTGAGCTGTTCAAGGAAAAGGAGTATGAAAACCTCACTAAAGCGATCGATTCTGGAATACGAAAGATAACAAAAAATGGTATTAAAGAAATTATACAATTTTTTTTCTAATTACTACTATTTTTACAATAATTAGTTGCTTCTATGAGAAAAGTGCTTAATAAAATTGGAACATCAAAAGACACGTCGAAATTAATAAAAGAATTAAATACGATAGAACACGGTACTAATGAATTAATGACAAAAACGATTAATAACATGGATGATCTTACTGCTCTTACCACCAGATACCAATCGCTTAAGAGGCATAGGAAAACGCAGCAACTTAATTTTGATTTCATGTCAATCTTAAAGAATTTTGAAATGTTACAGGAAAGTATAGTCCATAAAGTTAAGGGATATGTAAAAATCGTTCCAAGTGAGACACATTCTAGTCGATTACAACAGAATCAACCATTCATGTTCCAACCACAACTAGAACATCAACAAAAAGAACAACAGCAACATAAACAACAAGAACCACATCAACATAAACAACAAGAATCACATCAACAAAAAGAACAAGAACCACATCAACAAAAAGAACAACAGCAACATAAACAACAAGAACCACATCAACCAAAAGATCAACAACATAAACAAGAAGAACTCAAGCATCAATACGTTCAAGTTACTAAAAAAAAATCAGTGAAATTAGAAGACATACAAGCAGAAAATGAACAATTAAGAAAATTGCTGGTAAAAAATCTTTACAATTCTTATATTTTTTTTTATATTTTCTTTTTAGTCTGAAGTATTTAACATATCTGATGTATGTAAAGAATATGAAGCTAGAATTGGGTTAAGAGGTACAGTAATTTCTGAAACAGAAAGTGAACCTCAACAAGCAACTGATTCTGCTCGACATGAACCCCATGTTCAAGAAGTCCATGTACATCAACTTAAATTTCTAACAAAAAAGTACATTCTAATTGTAACAGGTGCTATAATTTTAGTTATCATTATCTGTATTTTAATTTATGTATTTGTATAAATATTAAAAAAAAAAAAAGGAATAAATCTTTTTTGTGTCTAGATAACACAAAGATCATGTGTCGATAACATTTTTACCTTGCAATAAAAAAATTGAGAAGTGAATAGCCTGGGATTTACCTAAACGACTTGTTAAAATTTTAACAAAGAGGCATGGAAAAGAAACTTGAAAATGTAATTAAAATTGAGAAATAAAATTTCTAAATCATTCTCAGTGACTTCTGAACTTCTTCAATCAAACACAAATGGACAAAACTCAATCCAAAAACTTAAACAACCAGAAATAGAGAAAATACCCAATGACAAACTGAAAGAAAAATGTTGTGAAAAGTGAAACACCAACAGAATCAGACGAGACAGTCTAAAAAATTTAGCGCACTTTTAAAACAACAATTACAGCAGAAAACTTAGCAACAACAAAATTACAAGACAATATAGGAATTACAAAAAATGTATGGATGTCAGAAAAAATTTTAAAACTGTTAGATATTCGAAGATCTTACAAAAATCAAAATGAAGCGAAATATAAAGAAACACGGAGAGACATCAGGAAAGCGAAAGAAGAATACATGTAATAAAACATAATACATAAGAAAATATGTCCACTTTAATACATACAAAAAGGTAAAGCAAGTTACAAATATTTAGGAAAGATTGACTACAATGACTCTAGTAGATGATAATAATCAAATACTAATTAGTCCAGAGGATGTAGGATGCAAATGGGAAAAATACATTTAAGAGCTCTTTGATGATGAAACAACATAACCGCAGATGAATATAATCTGCGATTGTTATACCTGACTACTTGTGCGCGACCTAGCAGGTAAGATCTAAACACACCCACAGCAGCATTCGAGAAGCCAACATGGTGCAACAAAGCAAGTAAGGTTGCATGGTGTAATGTATCGAAGGCTTTAGAAAAGTCCACAATACGAGAGCAGCAGCATACCTATCATCACGTGCCCGAATGATGTCATCCACAACATCCAATAATGCAGTAGTGCAACTAAAACCTGACTGCCGTTGAGGCAAGATATTGAATAACTGGAAAAATGACCTCACTAATACTGCTGAATTGAGTTACATGATGCCAGGGAATAGCACTAAGATCGGATGAGAAAGCATCAACATTAAATGACACCAGCCGCGGCGCACTACCATCCACAGAAGCGAGATTCAAGACCACATATACCATGTGATGATCTGCAATATTGTGTATATCAACAACACCATTAAGTCAGTAACATCATTAACCGAGGTGATAACAAAATCAATCAATGTAGAAGATATACCAGTTGTACGTGTAGGCGTAGTTATTATTTGTTTAAGAGAAAACTTCAATTGCTGACAAAAGACGAGAATAAGGACCATCAATATTTAAAGCATGTAGATTGAAATCGCCAAGACAAATTAATTTATCGCAATCAGGAACAAAAATAGACAAGGCATCTTCAAAAGATGTCAAAAAATGCTCCAAATTTGCACGCGGTCTATAGACTACACCAATTATCATGTTAATGTTATTTAATTTAGTCTTAATCTACATGTGGATTCACCTCTAACATAAGTATTTCGAAAGTGTAATTGTTCCCAATATAGAAACCAACACCACCACCGCGATCAACCTCACGCTCAGCAAATACATATTGATAATCTTGCAAAGCAAACACATTATAATTGAAATGAGACTAAACCCAAGTTTCGGTCATCGCAAAAATATCCAGCTGATTCTCAACTACTAAGTTAGTAACATTCGCAAAGTGAGCAGACAAAGACTGAACATTTAAATGAGCAACCCTCATTAAATTATGTATATTATGAATAAAAAAAGAACAATATAACTAATTCTATAGCACAATTATTGCTTTTTTACTAATATAATTCTTCCGGGTAAAACATATGAGACGATCCACACCTCTGAGAACTAACCACCTTTCTGCGATTTCGATCTAGTCATTGTTATTAGTATTGTTAGTTAGGTTACACATCTCCTGCACCGGGGAGTTGACTAAAATATTGAATCTGCAATTCCTCAGATAAAACTCATTGGTTGTCGAAAATGATTGTCGCGGAAGGTGAATTGGATTGAGGTTGGTTGTTGACAACCAACCAACCACAATCCAAATCACCTTGCACTAACTTCTGTAAAAACTTGTCATGGTCATCTCTTCTTACGTCCAGTGCAGAAAAGTTGTGACGTGCAGCAGGGGTGCGTGATCCGTACAGCGTAGAGACAAATATTTGAGAAATCTCCTCTGAATTCTTTTCAATAAAAGTCTATGACACACATATTATGGTGACGAAATTACAGAGCCATATTCCATTTTGGACAATACAAAGGTGCAAAACGAAACCAAGCATCCTCGCTGCAGAAGATACAATATCTTCAATGTGCGGAACAAAACACAATTTATGGTCAAAAGTAACTCCTTGATTGTAGATAGTTTCTCAAGAAGACCTTTTATATAATAGGAAGATAGAAGAGGAGCTTGCGTGTAAAAATTAAAGGCACCGCAGTTATTGGCTTTAATAACGCTACAACATAGTGCTGAGATCAACACAAAGACGTGTTTCTCTACTTTATCGATTATGAAAAAGTGTTTGATCGAGTAAAACATACAGAATTTATCGAAACCCTAACACAACATGGTGTAGACTATAAAAATGTGTCCCTTATTATTAAGAAGCTGTATTGGGAACAAATGGCATCGACTTTTGAACACCATGACCAGGGAAGGAGATGCTTTAAGATTAAACATAAACAAAACAAAAGCAATGATTGTGACACGTATGCCAAATTCCTGCATTATTCATATTACATAGATTCCAGTATCTCAGTTGCTGGATAACAAACGATCTTGACCATGAGGTTGAAGTGTAAGGTTGTATAGAATATGTCAGATTCGCTTTTTAATGAAGAAATTCCTAGCAAATTCCATCTTGTCACTGGATGTTCAATTCAGTATTGTTATACAGAGTGGAAGCATAGACTTGGAATTATGGCTTGAGATTTCGTTTTCTTAAGACTTATTTACAAATAATTTTCTGCAATTTTGAAATCTTTCTATTTATTTCAACTTCTTTACGTTTCACGCAATTCCATTTCATTCCGCCAACACTTATTGCCCTTTATTGAGTTGTAATTACATTTCCAGATTCATAACCAGAAAGTCTCCGTAGTATTTTATACTAAAAACAAAATAAATAATTTAATTAAAAATCTAAAGCTCTAAATTTATGTTTAATAAAATAACATTAATGGATATTAGGATTTATGATGTTACTAAATAAAACGTTTCAAGTTGGATGTCGTGGTTTATGATAAAAAGAAAACCAATTTGATTTCTTTTTCATTTCATTATATTTAAAATAACAAAACGTTACAAAAAGAATGAAGAGGCGGAACTACGGCTACCTTTGTTTCTGCTCTTCACTTTCCTGTTTTGGAAATGTTGTATTATATGTTTTGTTATAGGAAGTCGTCTGCACTGGAACTTCGGCTCGGCAATTATAAAAAAAATCTAAACCGCGCGCGCGTAGCGAAACTTAAAATTTTCAAATCGTTCTTATTTCATATTAAAGCACTCTATAGAAGATGATGATGATATTTGCTGCCCTATTTGATACGTAAAGTTTACATGTACTAGAAAAAGATCACAATTAGAACTTTGGTCAGAGAAAATAATAATTAATTCTTCTTTCAATTTAATATATAATAAAGGTTTTAATTCTTTTTTTATAGTTAATATTTTTTTTATTATTTATTAAATAAATTGATGACTTTTTAAACTTTAAAGATAATATATTATTAATAAGTGACTTAAATTCGATCACTTTATCTATTCATATAAAAAACTTGTTTCTTTTTTTGTTTGTTCATAAATTCCAAGTGATATGCCTACAATTATTATATTATTGATTTTAAAAATAAATTAAACTTTTGATACAAATAAATTATTAAAAGTATCTTAAATCAAATCATCAAGACATAACCTACAAAAAAAAACTCAACCTTGTTCGTTAACGTTGTTCTTAATAAAAATTATCACATCCTAAACAATCCCAAAAGATTATCTGCTTTTAATTCATAATTTAACATTTTTTTTTTGGTCAAACCTTACGAGTGTTGTGTACCAACACTATTATTCGTCCGAACGTAAATATAATTCCCAATTCGACTAACGGTACCCTCTTCCTCAACGATGGGAGTACTCGTTTCTCTATGAACCTCTTGTTCCATTTGTTCATCATCAATTAATTCCGAATAATAATGAGGAGTACTCAAATAATCAATCATACGACGCGGTAACGGTAATTGTTGTATCAAGTCTTTTCTTACATGTTTATTTATCACAAACCTAAAATAAAATCAATTAAAAAATAATTTATAAAAAATAAGTAATTAATAATTTAGTACCTGCACATGTGCTGTAAACTTTGTATTTGCTTAAATCTAGAAACGGGATGTAAAAGTTGTACACGAGCGGGTCCGATTGTTGGCCTCCTATTTAAAAAGAATAAATAACGGCCGCTCCGCGAATGTTCAACGGCATTTTCAATAAATTCTACGATTGTTTGAGATTTAAATTTGGTGTAATTTCCAAAGCTAAAGTTACCTAAAATTAAATAAGTTTAAAAAAAATAGTATATTACAGTACAAGTGAGGAAACTAAGATTTTACATTAACGCGTAGGTATGTCGGATTATGTGGAAAGACATACAAGTTAGTGGAAAATATTAGTTTTCACGTATGCTGTATAGCGTTTTGTTCAATCCTGCTATTTAGGGAAAATCCGGTCTTAAAATTCGTTAATACATGTTTAATTTCATGTCGACATGTCGGCGACAACAGCAGTTTTTGACATTATCATGCTCTTTCTTATCTTTATATATATATCTATATTTATATATATATAAATGAATGTTTGTCTGTATGTCCTTTATAGAATCGTAAACTATGCATTTGATCATGTGATGATCTTTAGCAAAGTTGTTGTGTATGAGCCCACGAAGGTTTCTATGCCAACATTTTTTCAAAATGAACAAAATCAATAAAATGACTCAAAATGAATTGAATATTTGCGTAATGTCTTTCCTTCAAATTTATTTTAGTTGGTGGCGTAGCAACGCGCACAGGGTACAGCTAGTAATTGATATAAACAACCAAAGACAGTAACCTGCCCGCAAACTACGTCACACCATTTTCCACGCCCAGCTGTTGTTATGGTCTATGCGTTTACTGTGTATTTTTAAAGATTATATCCTAGACGTATTCATATTATTTTTGAAGTTTTATGTTTTTAGACGTATTAATGTCTATCATATAACCTCTAAAAACACAGACAGTTACCAGGCGTGGCAAATAGTGTGACGTAGAGTGCGGGCAACCAACCCGTAGTGGACTACAAAAATACAATGGATGTAGCAGTCCTGTTAGATTCTACTGTCCTTAATAAACAACCACTTATGTCAAATTGTAATTTTTAATTTATAAGGAATTCAGATAAGCGGTATTACCGGTAATATCGACTAAAGGTTGCAATTGATTTTCGGTTTCTGGCTGACACTCGTGACTGTGCACGTTTCTGGGGCGGATAACACTCTTTTTTTGCTTGCTGTATTAGATTATAACATGGGAAAAACTTTTTATTAGTATTTCAAATTATTTCATATTGTCCTCGTGTTAAATCAGCATCTATAAACATTTTCAATGCTTGGAACGGTGATAGATTTATGAAGGTTTTTCCAATTTTGTGAGACTCACTTTTGGCCGCATAAATTGCTGAAATACCCCTATGTGCAGTGGTTGAAAAAAAATTAAACTGAGTCATATTCACATCAAGTCAGCAGAGTGAATGCAAACAACTTTCAACATTCATATTCAAGTTAGAAACTGACAATTGCGACAGTAGGATTGAACAAAACATTTTTGAAACTAATTGTAAGATTATTATTACCCTGATCATGTTCTATTCTAACGTGTCGAACGCTATTATTTAATTTTAAGGTTAAGGAGAAGATGTAATGATCGTCGCTACTATCTCTAACTATAAACGATCCATCCGGTTCGTTCGATAAAATTTTTTCAGCTGCTTCTCCACTTAACGGTCCCCAATACCATCCATACTAAAAAGAATTAATTTAATTCAATTATTTCTATACAGTCCACATTAAAAGTATTAAAGCCAGGGGGGAAGTCTAATTTGAAAATGGTTGTCATATTGAGAAATCTTCATGTCGTAATCTTCATAAAACCTTTAAAGTGAGTCCAAACATGACGTATTTATATCAAAAAACCAAATAGTTCGAACTTACAACTTTTAATTTTGACATATTTGTCAACTTCATAAAAATCCTTTAAAATGATTCCAAACTCGACAGATTTAACTTTAATATTAATGGAGATACAATCACTTCCGGTTTGAAACGTCAACGTCAATTTTGACATATTTATCATCTTCATTAAAAAACCTTTAAAATGAGTCCAAAGATGACGCACTTATCTCAAAACCCAAAAAAATTGGAATAATAGTATATTGTTTTATATGGAAGAGAAGCAGTGCTTTTTATGGCGTGGTCTGTCGCTTAGCGACGAACGCAGTGAGTCGCTAATGACAGATGAGCCGTTAAAATTGTGGCGTGTCCGACAGTTTGCCGGACGAACGAAGTGAGTCCGGCAATGACGGACCAGCCACAAACGAATCTGCTTCTCTTCCGAATAAAACATAGTATTTTTTCTTCAAACGTTGCAAATAATACGGCGCTAAAGTGAAATGTTCTTCAACGTTATGGCGCTAAAGTGAAATTTACTTTAGCGCCATAACGCTGAAGTACTTTTTTGCTATGTTGATCTTAGCAACCGTCGTTATGCAACAATGACTTACTTCTACCGCGAGTAAACACGACAACAAAGTTGTCATTTAATGACGTTTGAAGAAAAAAAACATTAAACCCCTAAGTTAGCAACAATGAAGATAGCAATTTAATTTTTAAATATTAATACCAACCTTAATTTTTTATTTTTTATATTATATTTTTGTTTTTGTGACAAATATTAAAACATTTTATAAAAATTAAGAATATGTCAAAATGACATTGACAATTCAAACCGGAAGTTACTTATATCTTAAGTAATATTGGAATTAAACGTATCATGTTTCAGCTGATTTTAAAAGATTTTTCACGACGATTACAAATGTCAAAATTAAAGTTGACATTTTTAACCGGAAATTAACTTCACTAATATTGGAGATAAATATGTCGTGTTTGTATTCATTTTAAAGATTTTTTAATAAAGATTACAAATATGTCAAAATTGAAGTTGACATGTTAAACCAGAAGTTAGTTGTCATATAATAGTCAAATGGACAACTTAATGGTGTTCTTTCATGATGTATTCTTTATTAAAAAAACCTTTAAAATGAGTCCAAACAAGACGCACTTATCTCAAAAAACAAAAAAGTTGGAATAAAAAACATTAAACCCGAAATTAGCAATAATGAAGATAGCAATTTAATTTTTAAATGTTAATACCAACCTTAATTTTTTTCATCTTTTATTATATATTTGTTTTTGTGACAAATATTAAGACATTTTATAAAAATTAATATGTCAAAATCACATTGACATTCCTAACCGGAACTTGACCATAACTTCATTAATACTGAAGATAAATATGTCGTGTTTGGGCTCATTTTAAAGGATTTTTCACGGCGATTACAAATATGTCAAAATTAACGTTGACATTTCAAACCGGAAGTTGACCATAACATCATTAATATTGAAGATAAATATGTCGTGTTTGTATTCATTTTAAAGGTTTTTAATAAAGATTACAAATATGTCAAAATTGAGGTTGACATGTTAAACCTGAAGTTAGTTGTCATATAATAGTCAAATGGACAACTTAATGGTGTTCTTTCATGATGTATTCTGTATTAAAAAAACCTTTAAAATGAGTCCAAACATGATGCACTTATCTCAAAAAAAAAAAAGTTGGAATAAAAAACATTAAACCCGAAGTTAGCAACAATGAAGATAGCAATTTAATTTTTAAATGTTAATACCAACCTAAATTTTTAATTTTTCTTTATTGTATTTTTGTGATCAATTTTAAGATATTTTATAAAAACTAAGAATTTGTCAAAATGACGTTGACATTTCAAACCGGAAGTCGCTTATATCTCGAATAATATTGGAATTAAACGTATCATGTTTGGGCTCATTTTAAAGGATTTTTCACGACAATTACAAATATGTCAAAATGACATTGACATTCCTAACCGGAAGTTGACCATAACTTCATTAACATTGAAGATAAACATGTCGTGTTTGGACTCATTTTAAAGGATTTTTAATGAAGATTACAAATATGTAAACTAATTAATAATTTTTGTAATTTTGTAAATTAGTAACTAATAATTTAATTTCGACTTTGATATGTGATCTTTTTTAACAAAACAAACAGAAATATTAAGCAACTTGTTTGTAAAATGGATAAGATGAGAGATGTTGATCTTTTTGTAGAGTGTCTGAAGATGGCCAAGGGCCGAAACTAGACTTCAATTCTATATAAAATAAAAAATCTAACTAGATTTAGATAGAAAACGCGTAATGCCAACGTAATTCAACTTAAAATTTGTGAGACATCCAAAAAAAAATTTAATTTGCGAAAAAACTAAGGGCGATGAGAATGTTTTATTATTTTTCCTGGATTTAGCACCCAAAAATCAATAAAGGGCGGTACTGAAATGTTTCTACCCCAAAGCCTGGGTAAACCCACTGAATTTGAAGTAACCAATCTTAATAAATTTTTCAAACCATGTTCAAATTATGCAAACTGTATAAATAAGTAAAAAGATAATTACATCTTTAACTTTTCTAATACTAGTAGCAAAATCCATAGCATGTTCCTCTTCAGGTGGTAAAGGGGGTAAAGCACGATTAGTAATATTCTTATTAATATCGGGATCTAAATTATCACAGCTCCCGTTAAAATTACAACTCCCTTTAAAATTACAGCCGCTCTTCTCCTCCAACAACGTCTTTTTCGGCTTAAAAATACTACACAAACTCTGCTTAAAGGACGAAATCCTACTTTGGGTCTTTTTCCACTTATTCTGTTTGTTCGGAGATACTTGTCTATTAGTCACTGGTTTAGTCGTTTCCTCTTTGACCTTTTTCACACCTTTCACAACATTTTTCTTATTATTATTATTATTAATATTATTACTATTATTTGTAACTCTTGTATTATGTAGTAAATTCTCCTTCATCATCATCACATTATGCGTATCCAAATTAATATTATTATTCCTTATTGCGTTGGGTTTTAGAATATACTCTTTCTGCTCGGACGAATCGGAAGAGCTTGAATACAACGTTTGTAAATATTGACGAACCTCTTGTAACGTCATTCGAATCGGTTCCGATTCGTGATTATTCTGCGAAGTCCCTGCCACACTATGTCTTTTTCCAGTTGGACAAGAAGCGTCCACGCTAACGCAACGATGTTCCGATTTAATTGTTTTTTTGGTCGTCATCGAAACGGCCGCAACTTGTCTACCCGAATGTGAGTCGTACTCTCGAAAACCGGAAGACGTGTGTCTCCTTCGTTTTTTTGCAGCGTGAAGTTGTGTGCGTTTCGGTTTGATCGGCGGACAAATGGTGTCGACGGGAATCGCGTAAACGTCGCTATCGAAGGGAACGTTATAAAGGTCACTGATTTGATTTGAGGTGAGGGTATCGTGAGAAACAGCTTGCATAATAAAACTGGAATCGTCGGCGCGATGAGCTGTTGGAACTGAAAGGGAATTGTGCGAACTGGAAAGGCGGGATGACCCCAATGAACTTCGCGAACTCGGTCGCGCTCCATGACAAGGACTGAACGTTAAAGGCGACCAAAAAGGGCGCGATAATGTCGTTTGGCAAATTTGCATTTTTGCGTTGCGGGTTGCGTGAAATTCTTGAAGGTATTTTTCGAATTCGTGAAATGCCATGTCTAATAAATAATCGGTGTAATAATCCGCGAATTTTTCGTAAGTTTCTGTACTTGGTTTGTCTTGGAATTCGGGGGGTGGTTCTATAGGTGAGGTTGTTTTAAAGATAATTTGATCAGTGTAATGTGGCCCTTTCTTTAATGTGTTGAAATTTTCACCACATATTATATCTGACATCCCATCCAAAGAATCAGCTTGTGATAAGGATTTGTCTTCACAATCACTATCATGAAACTTAAAAACAATAACATTACTTACAAAACAAACATAAATTAATATTTACCTCTGGTAAATGTGCACAAAAACTACGACTCTCTCCACTCATGCTACCACTGGAAATAGAGCCACTGGTCAACAATAAGCCACTGTCATCGCTTAACATAAAGGTTTCAGATAAAGTAGAAGTGGACGGAGGCGACTCCATTATAGCACTATTACGTTTACACCATCCTTCACAACTCTTCCCTACAATAAAAGATAACGGGTATGTGAAAACGGGGCGTAGATAACAATTAATTCGATATTTCAAGCATACAAAGTTTAAAACCAAGAATTGATACCTTCGAACTAAAACGAGACGTGCGCGAATCGGACGTTTCGTCATTGTTGATCACGTTTAGCGCATTTCGCGTCCGCTTCCCTGAAGATCACATCGATATTTCCGCCACTTTTCTTTTTTGACACCAAACGAAAACGTCCTCGAGTTTCCCAATTTTCACGATCTCTACGCTTTTAGGGTATTTTACGAATATAAAACTGTCACTCGTTTATGTTGGTAACAATCAACAATCCACCTAGGTATTAACGAACGTATCCCCCCGCAAAGACCTTGCTGTGACGTCATTGCAAGAATTGACATTTCTATGTTTGTATTTATACAGTGTATTTAACTTAAGAAGCAATATACAAAAATATAAAATAAAATTAAAAAAATATTAAAATATAAAGCGAAATATTAACCGTTATAATTTTATTATTGTTAGGTTATCAAACTTGACTCGGTTACCATGGTGATTAAGATCCAAATATTGCAGGTGCTTGTCAAAATTGAAATTGAATTTAAGTTTTTTTTAAGGAAAAAGTCTTATTTAATTGGTTTAAAAGGCTGTATTTAACTCAAAATTGGTTTATCTAGGGTATTATAAACAAGGTAAGTGGATTAAATCAAAAAAAGATATTTTTAATTTATTTTTCTTAATTAGAATCGATTTAAATGAACTACAATTAACGAATTTGTTATGAATGCGAGATAATCGTAAAGAATTCGAATTGTTTTAAAATTAATAAAAATTAGGTTAGAATTGATAAAAAATCGGAATAAAGTTTTATTATTTTAAGGTTATCCAACTTGCCTCGATTACCATGGTGATTAATATCGAAATATTGAAGTTGCTTGTCAAAATTAGCGTTGAATTTATGGTTTTTTTAATGAAAAATACATAACTAATTGGATTGAAAGGTTGTATTTAATTCAAAATGGGTAAATGGTTGAAATTATAGGCAAGGTAAGTGGATTAAATCACAAAAAAAATTTTTTTTTAGATCAATTAAAATTTACAAGAATTTAGGGTTAAATAACAATTAAAACTAGAAGTAACACTAGACGTAAAACTAGAAAGTAATTTTGACATATTTGTCAACTTCATAAAAGATCCTTTAAAATGAGTCCAAACTCGACATATTTAACTTTAATATTAATGGAAATATAATCACTTCCGGTTTGAAACATCAACGTCAATTTTGACATATTTGTCATCTTCATTAAAAAACCTTTAAAATGAGTCCAAAGATTATGCACTTATCTCGACAAACAAAAAAGTTTAAATACAAAAACGTTAAACCCGAAGTTAGCAACCTTAATTTTTTTAATTTTTCTTTATTGTATTTTTGTGATAAATTTTAAGATATTTTATAAAAATTAAGAATTTGTCAAAATGACATTGACATTTCACACCGGAAGTTGATTATATCTCGAATAATATTGGAATTAAACGTAGGTATCATGTTTGTGCTCATTTTAAAGGATTTTTCACGACAATTACAAATATGTCAAAATTGACGTTGACATTTCTAACCGGAAGTTGACCATAAATTCATTAATATTGAAGATAAGTATGTCGTGTTTGTACTCATTTTAAAGGATTTTTAATGAAGATTATAAATATGTCAAAATTGAGGTTGACATTTTAAATCTGAAGTTAGTTATCATATAATATACAAATGGACAACTTCATGGTGTTCTTTTATGATGTATTCTTTATTAAAAAAACATTAAAATGAGTCTAAATATGATGTTGCTAGATAATAAACCTACAACTAGAATCATTCTGGTTTAGCCGCACGTCTCTAAAGACGGCTAAACCCGAATCTTTCTAGTTCTACAGGCTGTCCGGAAATGACGTGTACAACGCAAGACCACAAGTACCTTAACCAAAAATATGATGATTTAACTCAACTTATCTATATACAAAATTGCTTAGTTTAGCCGCTAGAGGGCTTTAATAATAATATGTTTTTTCAATTTTTTTTAAAGAAGTCGAAAAAACCTCGATGGATTTTATTCATTTTATGGTCATGCATTTGTATCAGTAGACTACAGCTATTTGTGGAATAAATTCTAATTTCGAAAATTATAGGGTGTTTAAAAACTTTGTCATAATAAATTATGCATCCATATCTTTTTAACCTCCTGTACAAACACTACCATTTTTTTTCTGAATACATAGTTACTTTAATTTAGAAACTATTTTCTCTCTTACAAAATTTCAGTCGGGTGATCGGTTTAGCTACAAACAAATATTTTCTAAATCCCCACAAGCGCGAATGAGTCAGATAACTAAAAACGTTTGTTTAATAGTTGNTTAGAATCGATTTAAATTAACTACAATTAACGAATTTGTTATGAATGCGAGATAATCGTAAAGAATTCGAATTGTTTTAAAATTAATAAAAATTAAGTTAGATTTGATAAAAAAATCGAAATAAAATTTTATTATTTTAAGGTTATACAACTTGACTCGGTTACCATGGTGATTAAGATCGAAATATTGAAGTTGCTTGTCAAAATTGACGTCGAATTTATGTTTTTTTTATTGAAAAACACATAATTAATTGGATTGAAAGGTTGTATTTAATTCAAAATGGGTAAATGGTTGAAATTATAGGCAAGGTAAGTGGATTACATCAAAAAAAAATTTTTTTTTAGATCAATCAGTAACACTAGACGTAGAACTAGAAAGTAATTTTGACATATTTGTCAACTTCATAAAAAATCCTTTAAAATGAGTCCAAACTTGACATATTTAACTTTAATATTAATGGAAATACAATCACTTCCGGTTTGAAACATCAACGTCAATTTTGACATATTTGTCATCTTCATTAAAAAATCTTTAAAATGAGTCCAAAGATGACGCACTTATCTCAAAAAACAAAAAAGTTTAAATACTAAAACGTTAAACCCGAAGTTAGCAACCTTAATTTTTAATTGTTCTTTATTGTATTTTTGTGATAAATTTTAAGATATTTTATAAAAATTAAGAATTTCTAAAAATGACATTGACATTTCAAACCGGAAGTTGCTTATATCTCGACTAATATTGGAATTAAACGTATCATGTTTGGGCTCATTTTAAAGGATTTTTCACGACAATTACAAATATGTCAAAATTGACATTTCTAACCGGAAGTTGACCATAACTTCATTAATATTGAAGATAAATATGTCGTGTTTGTACTCATTTTAAAGGATTTTTAATGAAGATTACAAATATGTCAAAATTGAGGTTGACAGTTTAAACCTGAAGTTAATTAGCAAATAATAGACAAATTGACAACTTCATGGTGTTCTTTTATGATGTATTCTTTATTAAAAAAAACATTAAAATGAGTCTAAATATGATGTTGCTAGATAATATTATGTTGTATATTTTTATTGCACTAAAACTAGAACTAACACTAGACCTAGAATTAGAAAAATTCTAAAAAAGAAACCCGAAACTTTCTAATTCTAGGTCTAGTGTTAGTTCTAGTTTTAATTGTTACTAACCGTTAAATTGTTGTCTATTTTTACTGAAATAGAACTGACATTAGACCTACAACTAGAATCGTTCTGGTTTAGCCGCACGTCTCTAAAGACGACTAAACCCGAATGTTTCTAGTTCTACAGACTGTCCGGAAATGACGTGTACAACGCAAGACCACAAGTACCTTAACCAAAAATATGATGATTTAACTCAACTTATCTATATACAAAATTGCTTCGTTTAGCCGCTAGAGGGCTTTAATAATAATAATATGTTTTTTAAATGTTTTTAAATAAGTCGAAAAATCCTCGGTGGATTTTATTCATTTTATGGTCATGCGTTTGTATCAGTAGACTACAGCTATTTGTGGAATAAATTCAAATTTCGAAAATTATAGGTGTTTAAAAACTTTGTCACAATAAATTATGCATCCGTATCTTTTTAACCTCCTGTATAAACACTATCATTTTTTTTCTGAATACATAGTTACTTTAATTTAGAAACTATTTTCTCTCTTACAAAATTTCAGTCGGGTGATCGGTTTAGCTACAAACAAATATTTTCTAAATCCCCACAAGCGCGAATGAGTCAGGTAACTAAAAACGTTTGTTTAATAGTTGGCTAGGTATAATTAATTAAATTTTAACAACAAAAACAGTTTGTCACTTAAACTTGACAGCAGTACTCGTATTTCTCGTTTTGCGCTTTATCTTTGATTCATCATGAATTTTCAATGCTCTCTAGCGGCTAAACTAAGCAATTTTGTATATAGATAAGTTGAGAATCATATTTTTGGTCAAGGTACTTGTGGCATTGAGGTCTTATATATAATCTAGAGAGCGTATGTGGTGGTGGTGGGGGTAATCAGAAAGTCAGACATGTTGGATGTACCGACCTGAACTTAGCTATAGTTTCAAGTCTCTATTGTACCTACAATTATAANTAACTAAAAACGTTTGTTTAATAGTTGGCTAGGTATAATTAATTAAATTTTAAAAACAAAAACAGTTTGTCAAGGTACTTATGGTCTTGCGTTGTACACGTCATTTCCGGACACCTGTATATCTAGTGCTCGGAATTAGAGATAGTTGACGATCTCGGATATCTAGATTGAATGCAGTTATTAGTTAAATTTTCTTAATATACAATTTTTAAATTTTTTTAAAAAATTTCTGATCTAACGATAAGTGTACTAAAATTTTACGTTATCCTAAAGAGAAAACAATTCTCTATCAAAAGAGTCTAACGAAAGGATACATTGTCATTTAAAAAACTTCATGTGTTATTCGTTGCTCATTTGTTTTCTGAAATAAAAACAATTAAATGCCTTATTATGGCAAACAAAATATTAAACAACTTTTGTATAAAATGTTTTGTTATAAAGTTGATACTTACCAAGATATATAGTATATACTATATTCCATACATAATGGACATCTGTATATTATATTATACTTTTCCTCCAATGACGTCACATTTCCTACCTCACCCCGTCAACGTCAATTTGTTCGAGTTGGATAACCTAAATATTAACCATCGACATAGATTATGTCTATGGTATTAACAAAATATTAACATTTTTGATTTTTATATCATCAATTTTAAAAAATCTTAAATTTTGAACCAAATTAATTAATAAATTTATTTTATAAAAAATTCTCTTTAAATTTTGTAACTAATATCAGATCAATGATTTACCGTGTTTTGACAGTTAATACGTCAAAAGATTGTCATTCCCGTAAAACATTAAAATCTTATCAAAATCACGCCGCGTTTTTAAGTAACACAACTAAAAACTAAAAAATTAATAAAGAATATTAAGATGTCATCACGCGTGTTGAGAAAATTACAAGGTGATAAAGAACTGACGGATGAAGTGTCCGATAATGAAGCGGAACTGCCTGTATCCGGCGGTGCAAGAAAGAAGTTAAATATCAACAGATACGACTTGGTAAGCGATAAAGATAATATTATTAAATAGTAGATTAGATTTAATCCGCAATAATCTTTTGAATTAGTTAAATCAACAATCTCATTCTGAGAGTGAAGTAAAAGAAGATGATAATGAAACCGAGGCTAATAAATCTTGTGAAGGAGATAATAATCACGAATCGGTGAAGAGGAAGAAGAAGAAAAAGAAGAAAAAAGGAAAAAATGTTAATGCTCAAAGGAGTAGTGAAGACAATGCTGAAGTGGATGAAGTTGAAAAATCAGTACGAGAGGTAAACAAACTTCTTGGAGAAAATTACGTTTCAAAGCCGATGGCTTCTATTTCGAAACAAGAACGGAATATTCAGCTTAAAAAATGCATTTTAAGTATTCAACATAAACATTTAAATCCCAATAATGAATTAAAACGAATTTTTGGATCAAAAATAATACAAACTGAACAGTAAGTAATCATTAAAAACTAAAAATACGATTATTTTGTTTACTTATTTATTTATTTTTTGATTTAGTAAGCGAAAAAATCGTGGTACTGGTAGAGGTCATGTTAAAATGACTTGGCTTGTTTCCGGTAAGGATACTTGGCCTCAAGTAGGAAAAACTGGTCTTTCAATGATGAAACAAGACAACTCCCCAGAACATAAGTCAGGGTTACAGTATTTTACTTATGAACACAATCAGAGCTATAGACAGGTTCAAAATCGTTTTTTAGAAGCCGTTGAAAGTTTAAATCCTGATAATATCGTTGCAATAATAAACGAGCATCCCTATCATGTTGATACACTCATTCAATTATCAGATTTGTGTAGAATAGCTGAGGACCTTGCCATTGCAGCTGAATTTATTGAAAGAGCTCTTTATTGTCTTGAATGCGCATTTCATCCATTGTTTAATATTGCTCAAGGTAATTGTAGATTGGATTATAGAAGACAAGTTAATAGGTTGGTTACTAATTTTGTATATTTAAGATTATTTTTATACAGGGTGTTTTATGTAACTGGTTTGTTAAAACTTTTTAGGTTTCACTATTCGTACAGTTTTACCATAACTTCGTTATTTTAAATGGAATGCTATAGTTTGTAGTACACCTTTTAAGTGTACATAAAAAAATATGTTGACTTTCATAAAAGTTATTGGTACCTAGCTTTTTTCGTTTTCGAGTTATTTTGATTTTAAGTTTGTTTTTGTGAATTTCACCATGCTCTTTAAAACCGCATATCCCAGCCAATGTTCATTCAAAAAAGCTCTAAATTGGCTCAATTACTGTTCAGATGCTGTCAAATAGATTGTCATGTGTTGTATCAGAGTATCTTATACAGCGTGGTCAAAAATCGAATTACCGTTTCTCCATATTCAATAGGGAGAAAGTCGAAAATTTTAAATAGAACGCCCTATATTTTATTAGCCTTCCCGAAACGGAATTTAATTCTCTACAAATTGTCTATAAATATTTCTATACCTATTTATTGTAGTTTCTTTTTTTTGAATCTAGTACAGTCAATATTAATATTGCTTACATAAGAAAATTTTCGAGAAAAATTATTTTAAAGTTTAATTACTTCAGATTTGTTGACATGATGAAAATAGCAGTAGCCATGAGTAATTATGGTAACCAATGATTTTAAACAATTTTCTAAGTGTCAAAAACTGATTTAGTAAGTAGTTAACCTCTTTAATATAACATATCCTGATCGTCAACTCATTAACCAAAGTATGGTGAGTCTAGCTGTGACCAAATTTAAACAGCATGGCCATCTCTCGAAGCATTTCTCGAAGTCTGGCCTACTAAATGTTTCAGGGGAAGTTCAACAAATCGTATTTTTGGCTGGGCAAGAATACCCTCATGTTACTGTAAGGAGTATTGGGTCTAATTTGGANTCTGCTCTTTCTAATGGTGTCTTTTAATAACAATTATACACTTTAATTTAACAACAATTATTAATTAAAGTTATACGGGATGGTCAGAAATGTGCGTCAAATTTCCGTATCTCAAAAAGTTTATTTTTTTAAATGGCAACTCTACTTTTTTCCCTCACCACCGTATTATATGCTGAAAAATCAGGAGACTTTGTGATTACATCCCATACTAGTAGAGTTACTAGTAAACATACTAGTAGACTTTAAATTTAGTTACTTTACTGTAGACATTAAAATGCGCACACCCAATATCCGCAAAAGATTTGAGGAAACCTTAACTGGAAAGACATGTTTAAATTTTTGAAAACTGTGCTATTCCTTCCATCCCGCTAATTTTGACCCAACTCAATTCCAACGCCAGTTATTCCAACAGGATGGCGCGCCACCACACTTCAAGAAGCTTTACTAAATCAGTTTTTGACAATCAGGGAATTGTTTAAAATAATTGGTTACCATAGTTACTCATGGCTACTGCTATTTTTATCATTATACTAATTTGAAGTAATTAAACTGTAAAGTAATTCTTCTCGAAAATTTTCTTATGTAACCAATATTAATATTGACTGTAATAGATTCAGAAAAAAATCCTCTTTCATATTCCGTAATAAAAATGGGGGATTGCCATTTGAAAAAAATATCGGTGACGTCATAACTGGTTTAAAAATGGCGGAAAAAATTTGAAATCAGCATCAAAAAATTTAAATCTTTAGACCCGTTTCAGGGATTTTTCCATAAACCGTTTATTATGATTTTATCGCCTATATCCGTTACTTTACGGACACACTGTGTTTTTCCCAACACTGTTCATAAGCAGATTTTATTTACAATGTTAAACTTTAAGTTAAGCTACAAAAAAGTCCCACAAGATCCCAGGTTGAAATTTGTTTTTTTATGTAATTTCAAGTCTACACTTCCCATTCTCAAAAAAATAAATTGCGCATATTTGCGCATTTTCAATAAAATGGGTAATATACAGGGTGGTGTCTACGGATATTCGACAGTGAATACTGAAAGTTAGTTTTGAAACTGTTAATCGTTTACAATTTTTCAATATAACTATTTTTTATGAATTAATATTAGTACTAACTGTAGGATTAGATCTAAAACTAGAGGTCTTAAAAAAAAGAGTCATGATTCGGATATCATATTGTAACCTTCTTCCCAAACAAGTCCAAAGTATTTTTTTAGTTAAAAAATACCTATCCAACACACAGCAATAAAAAAGAAAATCAATGACGCGTTAAAATGCCAAGCCGGATGCCTATTTCACAAAAATTATTATGAAGAAATGAACATTGCTGCATTTAAAAATTTTACAAACGACACAATTCTATTATACAATCAATTATATAATTGGTATTATATGCCTGTGGCAGTGCCTAAAATTTTTGTGCATGGCCACTTAATAATAAAATCATTAAGTATCCAGACTGGCGTGCTTTCAGAAGATGCGCAAGAAACTCGGAATAAAGACCTTAGAAGGTATAGAGAGAACTTTTCCAGAAAAATGTCACGAATACACAATAATAGAGACATTTTAAACAGACTATTAATATCTTCAGACCCAATTATAACATCATTTCATAGCAATAAATCAAGGAATAATACAGATTTTTCTTAAGAACCTATAAGCCTTCTCTGTTTTGAAAATGATGATGAAAGAAATAATTTTTTTATCGTCAATTGTAGCTAATATAGAAATTGTAAAACACAGTGAGGACGAAGAAAAATAAATATAGGTATAAAAAAAATTTTAAAACAGTATGTTAAAATACTAAAATTGCTTATGGGTTAAAACGTAATTTATGGTTATTATTACATTATTAAACATTTGTCACAAATAAATAAATAATCACAAATGCAACAAAAAAATGGGGGTTCCTATTTTAAAATGTCAACATATGGTTTCTCAATTTTGGGACACCTGTACATTTCAATTTTATCTCAAAAAATGTGCGTTAAAAAATATAACATAGATATTCAAGAATTTTTTCTGGAAGAATATCCCTCAAATTTTTATTGATTTCATACTTTGTATATACAGAGTGTCTCACGTAACTGGTTCGTTAGAACTTTTTTAGGGTCCACTATTTGTACAGTTTTGAAATTTTGATAGCATGGTTTGTTCATTCAGAACTTTCGATCTAAAATATTTTCAAGATGGCTGCCACTTCCGGTAGACCGGAAGTAGACCATAACCTCGTTATTTTAAATGGAATGTTACAGTTTTTATTACACCTTTTAATTGTCGTTAACTGTTTTTTAATAGTCAACATATTTTTTTATGTACAATTAAAAAGTGTAATAAAAACTGTAGCATTCCATTTAAAATAACGAAGTTATGGTCTAATTCCGGTAGACCGGAAGTGGCAGCCATCTTGAAAATGTTTTAGATTAAAAGTTCCGAATGAACGACCTATGCTACCAAAATTTCAAAACTCTATGAATAGTGAAACCTTAAAAAGTTTTAACGAACCAGTTACGTGAGACAGCTGTATATATTATAGTATACAGGGTGTTTCGGTGACTCGGGGAACAAATTTAACCACGATTCATGTAAAAAAAAATTAGTAAAAGTCTTCAAATTTCAAAGATACAGGCCATAAAAATTAGGAAATTTTAACACATTTTTCAAAATACCTTAAACACTATTTACAGTAAAGCGTTGAAATTTGGTACAGTGTAAATCAATGTCATGTAAAATCGTTAGGCAATTTATGAATTGGATCGGTCATCGGGAACAATGCTATACAGGATGTTCCTAAAGTTTGTTTGTTCAGAACTTTTTTATTCTATCATAACCGTACATTTATGTTTGCAGTTTCTAATAGCAAATTTAATTTAGAAACTTTTATTACTCTTAGATAATATTGATAAAAGTCACCGTTTTCGTGTTAAATGCAAAAATGTTGGGTTCCGATTTCAA